TAGAGAGAGAGAGAGAGAGAGAGAGAGAGAGAGAGAGGGAGGGAGGGGCGGTTGGTGTGTATGTTGTAGAGAGTAAAGCTTCAACTGCAACAGCAGCAATGACTACAATAACGAAAACAGTTGCAACAACAGCAACACCAGCAACAGTTTACTTCCTTTGTGCAACTGATTTATTTTCGATATATTGATTTTTTGGGGTTCATTTGATTTACTTTGTATTTAATGTAAATCTATCAGGCTCTTCTTCTTCACCCTCCCCACGCCCTTTATTTTTGTCACTGAACCCATTTCTTCGTGGTTGCCTACATTTATTTGTTTGTTTGTTGCTTTTTGTTGGGATTTTTTTGGTCCCTGAGGACGCCGTTTGTCTTGTAAAGCTGTTCATTGTTGGGCGCTCTTGTATGTTCTTGCCGTTTCCTTTTCATTTTCGGCGCTATCTATGCTGTCGAAATTTTGTTTTATCAAAATCTTCCAAGACACCATAATCGTGTTGACTCACCGCAAACGACAACCAACCCTGAACAGCACATATTTCAGAAATAAGTTTACGTTGTGGACTAAGTTCAAAAACATGATTTATTTTACCTTTTGTAGCTAGTGGCACCTCTGGATTACCCAGACGGGTCTTTTGCCCGGCAGTTATGTAAAAATATTCATGGGTAGCCGTTTTTTCACGTTCTGCTCCGCTCTCCTTCGACACGGCGGTTACCGGCATTGTTGATTAAACGTGTGCGCAGATAAGAGATCATTGCTTACAGTCTGCACACTGTATACCTTTTAATATTTATGTGACTTGTCAAGCTCCCCACGGGAGTAATCTTTCTTGTGCTTCGATCAAAGGTTGAATGTGTTGACGGTACGAGGGGATTACTGCAGAAAAATACGAGCTCTTTAACACGCTTGCAGTGTCAGCTAGCCGCCCGACGCTTTAGAAGGCACATGATTTAGAGAATGAATAGTGGAATGTATAAGTGTGCGTGTGAATAGGGGTTTTGTGTAACGGTTTAAACCAGAGCCCCGTACCCCTGTCCTTCTTCCCCGTTCTGGTCTTTCTTTTTTCTAGTAGTGATCTTCATTTCAAACAGTTGGATAGTTGACAGTTTGCTCCTTTTTTCATATCAAACGTCTATCGTCTTTATGTCTCCTTTTTGTGTGCTGCTCTCTAGTTCTAGTAACATCCCCGTAGTCTCTGGCACTTACGTGAGCAAAATGTTTGCAAGGGCGGGAAACTTTTACTAAACTGAAACTAAGTCCTGATCTTTCAAACTGCCCCCCCCC